ATCAGCAGCAGCGTATTGCACAAGACTAGCTGAGATAGCAGGAAACAGTGTTAAGTTGGTACATGGTGGTAAAGTGTTATAGATATGGTAGAGAAGCAGGGCTTCGGAGCACTGCCTGATGAGATTTCAGAAAACCAAATATCAAACGCAGATCACAAGAAACAGGACCTCAAGTATAAGGAATACGGTGTCAGGATTGGATTGTTCAGGAGTTTACTGTATATCATGCGGTGCCTGCGATCAGAAATCTATTGGCAAAACTAAGAGAAAAATTAGCACACGAATCAAGGAACATCAGAGGCTCTGCAGGAAAATGGATACAGAAAGATCAGAACTAGCGGAAAACATCGCACAGACTGGACACGAAATCAATTGGAAGACAACTGAAAGAAGAGCTCCATACAGTGACAACACAAGGAGGCGGAAGCTTAGGGAGGTCATTGACATCTTTTGGAAGACAAATGTAATGAACATGAGATTGGAGGAAGGTAAAGTTAGCGATAACTTTGCCTACTGCCTCGAGGAAACAAGAATAGAGCAAGACCAGCAAAAAGGAGACGCCTGGATCAAGGATCTATCGCTAACCAGAGGAAAAGGAATCGCGATAAACAAAGTTGGGGTAAGGGGTTTTCGGCAATAAAGCGAAGACGTTGTCAGTGAGTGATGTCCATTTCGAATAAACCAGTACAACTGGGGCCTGGCAGTCAGGGTTTAGCCTAGCTTTAAGCCTGCTACGCAAGAAAATCAGTCTATTTGACTGTCTATGAGCCTTCAATCCCGGACCCCGGTTACGGCATATTTGGGTGGTATAAAAAAAGGTGACTTATGCATAGGCTTCTCTTCTCCCTGGGCTTCACATCCATGTCCTAGTTACCCTTTTTCACATCCCCACCCCATTCTTTCATTCTCTGAGGCCCTATGTGTAGCTTCATTATGAACAACTTTACGTCTTCCCTTATGAATCACGTAAAACACGCTCCTCTTCTCCAATCCCAAAGTTCTAGTCGGTGGGAATAGGATAATCGAGTACTCCAAGGAGAATCTGCTAGGATTTTTAGGAAGTAGTGTAAAACATACACAATTCGGAGAAGAAACCAGCGAGGAGTTTGATTAAGCATCATTGAACCTGCTTAATGTAGCATGCTTCTTGAGTAGCTCAGAGTAAACAAGTTCGAAGTTGTAATAGCGATGTAGTGAGCCTAGAGAATGTTATAGTTGGATGTGTCAGGAGAGAAGAGAACTAATACAAATCGAGAGGGAGGGGTGCAAAGTAAACAAGCATGTGTGATAGCGCCCTACAAAAATTGCCAAAAAAGTCACACTCCCTGAGGAATCGAATATAAGCAAGTCAGAAATTGTGATAGAGGGAGTGAATTACGAGGATGTAGGTTAGGCAGATATACCAAAACAAAGGGAGTAATAACACAAGTCTTCAGCAAAAATTTTGCCAGAAATAGACTTGACTTATCTCTTTCACGAATTTGGCATGGTGCCAAGAATGGCAAGTCTTATTCACAATAATGACTATGCTCTTGAGAAAACGTCTGCTGATTATGCAGTGTAAATGTTTCGACGCTATGACCTATCATGACTAACGACTGTATAAAAGTAGCATATGCGTGGTACTAAACCTTACTTAATCACTAAAGTGTCTAATGCTAAATTATTCTCCTTCTCTAATTTATTTGCACAATTACTATTACCCTTCCGAAGGTTAATAAAAAATAAGTACCCATCTAAACTAATAGTACTATTCTGCGAAATAGCAAAATAAGCATCCATATCGAAGGTATGAAGATGGCGTGGCAAGATGGTCCATAAAGAAATGGCTTGACCATGAGAATTACTCATGGGCTTTAGCCTCAAGTCAGTCTCCCAGAGGCAGCATATGGAAAATAACGCCTGGAGTATCACAGATGGGGTGGCAAAAGTCGAGTGAAATACTTAAACCAGGGAGATAGCATATTGATCCTACAGGGCAAGAGGGAGACTCTGATCAACATTCCTAGCACAAGGGTGAAGGGGTGTGAGGATGCCAGTGTGTAGTGTGTAGAGTTCTCAACAAAGCCGCTCAAAAGATCGTACCATACAACATTTAAATAAGCAATTTAAAAAATGTGATAGTGAAGGCGTGATATAAGTATCTAGGATTGGTGATTAGCCGAGGGCGGAAGGAGAGATACCACGATTGTTTTAGACAATTGGTCAGAGGATCGGCTTCACTTGTCTCATTGACGAGTTTTAGTGTGGTGCTAAGAATGGCAAAACTCACTGACGATGCCGGCGAAACGTCTGGGAATGTACCACGTCCATGGTCCGACTTTGGAAATTATCATCTATACAAAGGAATCCTGACTAGGTGCGTTCCTCCGAGTCTTCCTACCAATATGATCAAGTTGCGAAAACAAGGTTAAACTACTTCTAAACTTCCATATGTATAACTCAAACCGTAGAGATTAATACTACTTATTTCCTCGGTCATTCCTAAAATTTTCACAATTATTCGCCAGGATGTCAATTAAATAAGATCATATTGCTTGCCCTGTATATCAGTATTGAACTAACTTTCGGTATATGCAAAAAGCCCGACGAAAATATTTCCTAACCAGACTCGCTAGAAGATAACGACAGATTACCCTTGGTCTGTTGTTTAGGTCTTATTTGACGTTCGGGCTGACTCGGTCCCCGCAAGCTTGCCAAGCTTTGAATTGTCATGAACACATAATTCGTAGTGAACTTGAAGACATCATAAGAATGTGTTCGAACGCTGCCATCCGAAAGACCAGTTTGGCAAATTTTCACCGAAATAACAAAACTGTGCCTTGAGGTTTGCTTAAGCATCTAAGTTCAAGGAAAATCGAATAAGAGAAAAGTAGAATCCGTCGTCCTCTTTGGTGAGATTGAATTTCGGAGCTCTATTTAGCACATTTAAATTAGAACTAATAAAGATATTAAGTTTCGTAGATTACAAGTAAATCTTCATATTTTATTGAATCCGATTTCCAGCTAGGACTAACTAGCTATGGATGTTGATGAGGCAGTCCACATAAATAAGAGTACCTTCAGTGAGGAAGGGTTATGTGAACTTCAAAGGAAACGAGAGGGCTACCCATTTCACTGTGGGAAATTTCAACTGCCAATCCTTCATTATCTTAAGCTAAATGGGGTAACACAGTAATTAGATAAGATCTACTGGTAGTCTCGAAAGATACTTGTAAACGAAAATAAGTAGCGCCTTATTTTTCAATAGGCCAAAGTGTAAAAGCATTCCTAAAATCGGCATTATAATAAGTGTTTTCTTTTACCTTGTTAGCAAATGACATTTATATAAGTGCATTTAAACGTAGTTCAATTAATGAAATCAAATTTTGAACAGTTAAAATTCAAAGGCATGACTTTCATTTAATAGATCTTA